ATTATAGTATATTATGCCTTATCTTCGTGCTAATTTCATACTTTTATGTTTTCAAAAGCTTCGAATGCATTATTATACCTAATTGGCATGGTTCAGAATTCAGATAATATTATAATAGTGACTTTTGCTAAAAATAATTCAACATAATTCTCCTGGCTATTTATTTGTTATCCCCATGAGTGTGTGTTTGTTTTCATATATTTAACAATATCTTGACCAACCAGGGGTTTTTTAACAAAAGCTTGCCAGGTATATAGTGAGGTTAAGAAGTTGCGTAGGATATATGTAAATGATAAATAAATTATTATCGTACATTTTCAGCTTCCCAAAAGACGCTAATTTAAAAAAGAAATGAATTGATGCCACAAGAAGGCCACCAAACTGGTTCCCCACAAAAACTAGTACCATATGCCAAAATACTTACTTTTTCAATACGCTATGACAATCTAAACCAACATTTTTTTATTGTATTTGTTAGGTAGGTTAGGTAATGAATAATTTACGTTTTGCTGCATATTGTTTATTTTTATTATATAATTTACTGTGCATGACGTTTTTTATTTATTTTATTTTCAATTTTAGTGCTAAAATAGCACTAAAATTGAAAATAAAATAAATAAATATAATAAAAAAAAAAAAAAATAGTATAAATGGAAGAGAATCGATAACTTTCCAATTTAGTCAATCACTAATGTATATGTAAAAAATGGCTTATGCACAGCACAACGATAGCGCCCGATACTTTTGTGTGAGTAAGTAGTACGGTACATAGTAAATGCACGCTGTGTTTTTAGGGATGCGGTTTATAATTGATTGTGTAGTACGTTCTGATTTAAAAAATTCAATTGTGTGCGCATTTGCGTATATATTGCTTTTACTGATCTGCAAGTGTAGTAGTAGGCGGGTAGTAGGGGCCAACTGGAGACACCGGGTTCCGATACATTTTCAACTACCGGGCATATCTCCCTCTATTATTATATCTATGGATCGAACATTACACAGTAACAGAACACAATAACAAATCATTTTTACTTCGTATTTTCACACTATCAGCACTTTTAAATTGGTGTCAATGGAGTCTACCTTTTTCGATCTTTTATTTAGTTTTCCGTAACTCTGCAATTTCGGGCTTTGTGCGCGCAGGTGCGTTACCTTTTTTCCTATATCAATAATATCTCATTTTTCACTTAAATCTTGCCGTTTTTCTATTACGAGCCTAAAACCAAAATTTGACATGTTTTGACATCGTTGTTTTGAAATTCGCTACCGGTCTGTTGCTTCTATTTCGATAATTCCACATAAACACTCTTTCCTCTTGACCATTTACAAAAAATTTGCGTTTAATTTAAATAATTTTTCCGTTCTCTCTAAAAAGGTATAAAAGCCGAACAATCGGTCAAGAAAGTCAGTCTCGCTTCAGTTCTCGAATTCAAAGCATCTCCTAAAGGCCTTATCCCGGGGCCGCACTGCCCCGGGATACTGCAAGCCTCTGTCCAGCCTGAAGCCGCTGGACCCTGCAAACCTCTGCTCTGCCTGAAGTCACCAGATCCTACAAGCCTTTGCTCTGCCTGAAGTCGCCGGGATCCTACAAGCCTTTGCTCTGCCTGAAGTCGCCGGGATCCTACAAGCCTCTGCTCTGCCTGAAGTCGCCGGATCCTGCAAGCCTCTGTCCCGCCTGAAGTCGCCGAATCCTACAAGCCTCTGTCCTGCCTGAAGTCGCCGGATCCTGCAGGCCTCTGTCCTGTCTGAAGTCGCTGAGGATCCTGCAAGCCCCTGTCTTGCCTGAAGTAGCCGGATCTTGCAAACCATCACATTCACCTGAGGTCGTCGCCTAGAGACGCCCACGCCTTCTCACCTACGCTGTGCGTGCTCGTTCCAGGCGCTGAGAGCACTTGCTGTACACCTTGGATCTTCGGGCTCAGCTTCAACACTAATCTTTTTTTTTATTATCTTTTTTTTAAATATTTGTAAATCACGACATCCATCCTCATCTTCATACTCCATTTTGTTGTATAAAATTGTAAATATCTTTTAAATTTTAAATATATTATTTGTTTTTGTTCTATTTTTGTTGTTTTGTTGCTGTTAGGTTAGATTCTTTTGTATTTAATTGTCGCTTCACGACATTTTGGCGCCCAACTTAAAAGTTCTCTTTCTCTTTTCTTCACCTTTACTGCGCTTTGTCCATTCCCTTGTGATTTAATTGCTTTCTCTTTCGTTCTTAACTTTTTATTTATCCATCCTTTTCATAACTTCCAAATTCTAAAACAACACTTCATCTAGTGTTTCAACTTATCTGGATTATATTTAGGCCTACATTTAACACTTCACTTACATTCATCACTTTAATATTTTTATTCTAGATAACCTTCCAAATTCTAAAACAACACTTCATCTAGTGTTTCAACTTATCTGGATTATATTTAGACCTACATTTAACACTTCACTTACATTCATCACTTTAATATTTTTATTCTAGATAACCTTCCAAATTCTAAAACAACACTTCATCTAGTGTTTCAACTTATCTGGATTATATTTAGACCTACATTTAACACTTCACTTACATTCATCACTTTAATATTTTTATTCTAGATAATCTTCCAAATTCTAAAACAACACTTCATCTAGTGTTTCAACTTATCTGGATTATATTTAGACCTACATTTAACACTTCACTTACATTCATCACTTTAATATTTTTATTCTAGATAACTTAAAGAGGTATAATTTTTAAAAAAAATTTATTTCTTAAACTTAACTTTGCACTTCATTATAACAATGAAAAGGGTTATTAAGTACAAAAAAAATTGATATGTAAGTAGTGTTCTTCAACACATCTTGCTTTAAAACCTCGAATTTTCGTTGGTTAATCTTCACTTTTTATTTTTATTTCAGACACATCTCGTTGGTGATGTTGCTGATCTATGGCTTTGAGCCCTACCGCTCTGGCCGTTCTTAATCTTTACTTAAGTCATAGCGACTAAAGCTTACTTAAGATATTTCTTTATCTTTATCTTCACTTGGGAGCGGCTGACTAATCCCTTAATGATTTTTTTTTCCACGCAGGAGCGGATGACAACTCCTTAAATAAGCCTGAATGTCCTTTCGAAAACACACTTTTAGAGTGGTAGTCATTGAATGTGAACTCCACCCTTACCTGAATGCAGATGATGAATGTAAGAGATAGTATATCTGATTTTGCCTGGTGATGTCTGTTTCTGCAAAGCTGTGTTTTTATGGTTTATTTTAGAATGTATATATCAAAATTTTTGCTGAGTCAAAAATTTTCCAGGGTCGGGGGGAAAATGTAGTGTTATGTTACTTACATATCATTTTACATTATTTTAAATTCATTTTTCCATTCTGTTTCGATTTTCTGCATTCACCTCGAAACTGGATATTTTACATCACCTTTATTTCCATAGGATCCTGTAACGATTTTAAACCATAAGAACACAATAACAAATCATTTTTACTTCGTATTTTCACACTATCAGCACTTTTAAATTGGTGTCAATGGAGTCTACCTTTTACGATCTTTTATTTAGTTTTCCGTAACTCTGCAATTTCGGGCTTTGTGCGCGCAGGTGCGCTACCTTTTTTCCTATATCAATAATATCTCATTTTTCACTTAAATCTTGCCGTTTTTCTATTACGAGCCTAAAACCAAAATTTGACATGTTTTGACATCGTTGTTTATCTGGTTGTCATGACAATTTTATTCAAATTCGCTACCGGTCTGTTACTTCTATTTCGATAATTCCACATAAATCCTCTTTCCTCTTGGCCATTTACAAAAAATTTGCGTTTAATTTAAATAATTTTTCCGTTCTCTCTAAAAAGGTATAAAAGCCGAACAATCGGTCAAGAAAGTCAGTCTCGCTTCAGTTCTCGAATTCGAAGCATCTCCTAAAGGCCTTATCCCGGGGCCGCACTGCCCCGGGATCCTGCAAGCCTCTGTACTGCCTGAAGCCGCTGGACCCTGCAAACCTCTGCTCTGCCTGAAGTCACCAGATCCTACAAGTCTTTGCTCTGCCTGAAGTCGCCGGGATCCTACAAGCCTTTGCTCTGCCTGAAGTCGCCGGGATCCTGCAAGCCTCTGTCCCGCCTGAAGTCGCCGGATCCTGCAAGCCTCTGTCCCGCCTGAAGTCGCCGGATCCTACAAGCCTCTGTCCTGCCTGAAGTCGCCGGATCCTGCAGGCCTCTGTCCTGTCTGAAGTCGCTGAGGATCCTGCAAGCCCCTGTCTTGCCTGAAGTAGCCGGATCTTGCAAACCATCACATTCACCTGAGGTCGTCGCCTAGAGACGCCCACGCCTTCTCACCTACGCTGTGCGTGCTCGTTCCAGGCGCTGAGAGCACTTGCTGTACACCTTGGATCTTCGGGCTCAGCTTCAACACTAATCTTTTTTTTTATTATCTTTTTTTTAAATATTTGTAAATCACGACATCCATCCTCATCTTCATACTCCATTTTGTTGTATAAAATTGTAAATATCTTTTAAATTTTAAATATATTATTTGTTTTTGTTCTATTTTTGTTGTTTTGTTGCTGTTAGGTTAGATTCTTTTGTATTTAATTGTCGCTTCACGACAAGTTGCCGTCAAAATCTCCCAAAGGCTGCACAATGTGACGCATCAACGTATTGTGAAGCTGTGTACTGAAGGATAATAATACATTGTAATTTTAGACTCAGAAGGGCTAGAATCCAGAGCCGCAAAGCCAGTTATAAAAAAAATCTTGTGAAGAACTTGTCAAATCAAAGTATAGAATTAAAGATTGTATTAGAAATTAGAATAAATAACGGAGAAAACGTTTATTTTATAATGTAAATATGGAAATAATGCGTTGAACTTTTAACGAATTGATTTGTCACTGTCGTAACCTTATGTGATTATATTTTCAACTGCAATTCCATTTAACTTGGATTTTTATTGAAACGTTAATGCAACAAAAAATCATCCCGATGCCTTTGATCATCAACTTCATAAAGACAACATGTATGACATGTTGTCAGAGTTTAGAGTGTCAGAATTTGATTCATTCGTGGATATACTAAAACTGACTCCAGGTGATCCACTTGATACATTTGGTGAAATGTGGTATCCAGTGTTTTTGTGGTCATTATGCTCATCTGTTTTTGTGCACACTTGTGCCGGATTAGTCGCTTTCGGAACTCTGAGGAAACACAAATATGGGAAGTTTTTTCCTGTGTTATTGATATTAATGGGTGTGGTAACTCCAGTCACTTCTGGTGTGGCAAGCAGTGCTGCAATTGCTTTTATATACCGAGCAGCAAAACTCGATATGCCACCAATACATGCTATGATATGGGGCGTTGGACAAACAGTACTAGGGGCTGGAATAGGATTTACTAGAATTTTGGCCACATTGTAAATTAACTATGCAACACTAGTACTAAGTTATTATATTAAATTAATCATACTATATTATATACAATAAAAGTCAATTATGCCTTAAAATCATTTTAGATGGTGCTGTTAAGGGGTGAAATACAAATGTATATGAAGCTTGGTGTACCTATGTAATATTAGTAAAAGGTTTCATAGAATTTCCAATTTGTGTTATTAATTATCCAGTGCTTTTGATACATACCAATTTTACGTATAATATAAATTTTTAAACAATTACTGGATAAGGTAATTGAGAAGCTCCCTATACTATAGTATTGGTTTTTATTTATGTAGTTATCAAAAAAGTGCTTAAACTATGCTGAAAAATTATATATATATATAACTTGTAGTAAGATGTAAAGTGTAATTGCACATTTCATATTATATATTTTCATTATATAGAATAAGGGTGACAAACAAGCAAGCACACAGTCCACCTGATGGTAAGTGGATGCTGTGGCCCGTAGACATTACATTTCTCCTAGATTAAGAATCAAAATGCAGATGCATTGTCACCCCTAAGGACTAAGATAGAATGCCTCATTTGCAGTAAAAAGGGTCTCTGGTTTTCTACACTCATCATACGAAGCACAGCAGCATTAAGCTGCTATTTTAAGCTAGTATTCTGTGAGTGTGATCCTACCTTGGTCAAACTGAACCATTCATGCTCCAACCATAATATAGCTACAGCATGGCTCTACCATGTAATAAATTTATATTACAACATTCCAAATTTAAACATTTATATATATACTTTGTACATCATGTATTATAAATAACCTTTGTTACTACTTATTTGTTTATCCCTCCGATAGTCTCCCCGTAAGGAGTAAATTGTGAATTGCAGATTAAATATTTAATAAAAAAATGAGAATAATAATTATATCCATAGAAAATATGTTCTGGAACTGGCTGATTTTTATATTTATAATTGATAATTTGCAATTTTTGGATGTATATCAAAATTATTAAGAATGATCTAAGTATAATTATTCTTAACTTTTATTATGTATTTTTAAAATTATATCAAAAAAGTTTAGTCATCTTTAGATTATTAAGTTGTACAGACCCGGTTTAAATACTTAACATAGATATAATATAGATGATAAGATTTTTGATACAAATTACTTCAATGTAAATATAATAACAGCTATTGTAATGATTGTTTGTAGAAGATATAGCAATAAATTATAGTAAATTTTAATAATATGGAAAATTTTGCATTGTATCATCATCATTACAGCCCATCACAAGTCTACTGCTGAAAATAGGCCTCCCCTTGTGGAATACCACAAGGTACGGTCTTGACCAACTTGTATCCATTGATTTCCTACATGTCTTACCAGGACATCTCGCCATCAAGCTACAAGTTCGGCCCCTTGCCAGTTCTGCATACTGAACAGTTAGGCTATATTGGTTACTTTGGTCCTACTGCTGATGTCAGGATTATGAAATTTATCACACAGCAAAACTCTAAGCATGGCCTCTCCATAAATCACTGAGCGACCTGTGTAGTGGTCCCAACAATAACCTAAATGTGTCATGGACATTACATATGAATTTTTTCTTGCTCATGTTCATCTCAAGAATTGTCTTTGTTGAGAAATCAAAAAAAAAATCAAAAATGGAGCAGTATTAAAATTATCTTGCACAAAGATTGGATGACTTTCAACAACTGTTCCGAACAACTAGTTTCCAAAAAAAATTTTAGTACCATAGCCCACATACATAATTCTTGGAAAATTGTACAAAAGACTGAAGAGTGGAATCTACCATATTGTCTTACATATGTAAACTATGACAAAGCCCTGCAGTCTGTCGAAATCTGGGCATTGCTAGTCCTTTCAACATGCAATCACTCACCTCAGCACTTCAATATACTGATATTGGAGTACTGAGGTCTTTCTACAGTAGGGCTAGAATGGCTATCTGAGTATGGAAGCAAAGGACAGAACCTATCAATGTGATAAAAGGTTATTATAAATTACAAGAATACTTGGAAATATTGAGCATTTTAGATTTTCTTGATTTGTGTATATATTCTATAAGGTTAAAACGTAATTGTTAGGAGCAAAATAGTCTACTTGTGACTTGACGCTGTTCACAAGATTTAAGGCTTGTTAAAGGAATGGCTTAGTTTTATTGACTTTAAAAAAGTACTATGTAAAGGCTAATTTTGCATAGAAATATTTTAACTGAAGACGTATCAAACTAAAAGCTATAAGACAGGGTGATGTTATATACCCGAAACCCTTCACCGCTGCAGTACAATACCTTATCTCGCTACTGGACTGCAAAAGGATATGGTGTCAACATTAATGGTGAGTACTTTAATCATCATCGTTGTCTTACTAATGGTAAAAATAAATTCTAATTAATTGTAAAAAATAATAATAATTTTATTTAGATCCATAGATCACTGTATATATACTAGAGATTTAGATCCTTACATAGGTACATAATTGCTTATTGTCAAGAGTGCATTAGTTAATAAAATTATGTTTTTTAAAAAAAATGTTATTTTTAATATTTTGAGAAATGTAACAATATTAAATGTACATATGAACATATACAAAGGCACATTTTAAAAGTTCCTTTTAATTGGATAATTTAATAAAAATTGCGGTTTAATTGTTAAATAGTACTTCCATGGGAATGCTTGGAGTATGACTTATATAATATTAGATCACCATGAAGTACACTATCCTCATCTTCATTTCTAATTTCATCAATTGTTTCTCCTAGTGTGGGAGGTAACTCTATATCTGTCAAAGTATGCTGGAACAAACAAAATGTATCATAAGAATTTGTTCATTCATTCATTAGAGCTTACCAAAAAATCAAAAGCACTGCTGGCCTTCCCCAAACATTGCATTATAGGAGGAATATATGCCATAGCTACAACGCTTGGCAGGTGAGTTGGCAAACACAGTTTTTTATTATTTTGAGTAATCAGGAAGATCCTGCAACCAATCTACTTATTCATTCATGGGTATGACTCATTCACTCACACCGCCATGCAGAGGGGTATACAGTTAAATAATTTATAGCTTTTATCAAAATTAATGTATCTGTTTTTTTTTATAGGATAGGGTGACAAACGAGCACACAGTCCACCTGATGGTAAGTGGTTGCTGTGGCCCATAGACATCTACATTTATCCTCGTTTGCGAATCAAAATGCAGATGCATTGTTACCCTTGAGGACTAAGATGGAATGCCTCTTTTCCAGTAAAAAGTCTCCGGTTCTCTACACTCACCATACGAAACAGCAGTGTCAAGCTGCCATTTTATGCTGGTATTCTGTGAGAGTGGTCCTTCCCCGGTCGAGCCAACCCATTCGTACTACAACTAATCTATTAAAATAGCTGCAGCATGGCTCTACCACGTATAAAAACTGTACTGAAAACATATTTCTTTTTTTTCACCGGCTTGTAAGTCTATAGCTGGATATTGGCCCCTTACATAATAGAGAGGATTTGCTATAATCAACATGCTTGGCAAGCAGATTGTCAATTACAGTACCAGTTCTTTTTAAATACTTATGTTATAACTGGCCTGGCAGACATATTGCTCTTCCAAGAAGGTGGTACAGAGTTTCACTCCTAATTCACTATGGACTTTTTTTTACAATCTAAATATAAAATTTATCAGTAACTAGACCATGGTGTCACCTAACAGGTCCAGATGTCACGTTTGTTTTACCTTTTTTGGTGCTAAACTAACACTAATTTACATATTTTGTAAATATTAACAAATTAACAAAAATTAACATATTTTGTAAATATTAAGGCATTTTAGTCCATAAACAAAAAAATGTGTTAATAAACTGACTACATCTGCACCTATTTCATCTAAGCATAATTATGAACCACCACCTCTACAAAACAATTTAATGGGTAAATATGATCTAAAATGTTAGTCATTCAAAAGTTACACACCATCATTAACAGATGTACCAACAATTATATATATAAAGATAACAGTATAATAACAATAAAATACCTCATGAACTTCAGGCTCCCTTCTACTTAACCTACTGACACAATCTTGTAATGATTTTGTTTCAGATGTAGCATCTTGTAAAGCTAATTTAAGCTCCACTATCTCTCTTCTTGCATTTAATAATAATTTTTCTGTTGTATTTAATTTATCTTTCAATTCATCATTTTCCATTTGTAACCTAATTTTTACTGTAGTTAAACTTTTTATTTTATTTTCATAGATTTTCAACTCTGAATCAGTGTCTTTAAGGTCAAGAATATTATTTGATTGTTCAACTTTCAAATTATTGCACATTTGCTTTAAATGTGATACATTTTGGTCAAGTATTTTCTTCTCATCTGAAATAAGTCTTATTTCATTTTCCAATTTGGATATTTTACATGTCATTGTTGAAATCTGTGCAGACTGACTGTCAATAACATTATCCTTATCCATAAGCTGAGCTTCTAAACTTTGAATTTTATTAACATATGTCTGTAATTGAATTGATTTAGATGCAGATTCACTTTCTAAAGAATGATTTGTATTTTCTAAAATGTTAGCTTCTACTGATAAACTAGCAAATTGTTCTAGCATGTCTGATCTTTCTGCCTCTTTCTGTGACAAAAGTTCCTCAATTCGTCTTACTTCTGTCACATAATGCTGTAACTGTTGTTTGAGACTGTCAACATCTTTCTTAGATTTCTCTAATTCCAACTTAGTCAGTTTTAATGTACCATTAGCATCAGCTAAACTATTTTGTAAATGTTTATTTTCTATAGTAGCATTATCATATTTTTGTGTCAACCTTTGTATCTCACTATTTAAAAACATAATCTGTGATTCATAATCTGATAACTTGTATTCTGATGTTTTATATAAATTCAATTTTCTTTTTAGTTCTGCATTTTCGTTTTCCAATTTACTAATTTCAAATACTTTATTATTGATTTTCTGTTCCAAGCTACTTATACTTTCAGTCTTGTTATCTAATTCTATG